ATTTATGGAAGACAACATTGAGTCTCTCTGCTATTCATGGCTATTTGGCATATCATTTATTTCAGGCACAAGGTTGATTTCGATCCTAATAATAATATATATTTCGTATAAACTGGTGCTTACAAGAAATGCACTCCATTTTTACAGGCATGGTCGGTTATGTTATAAATTACAATCCTGAAGGATCATAAATTAATAATTTTTCAGAAGTTTAAATTGTTCGATTATTGTACAAGCACTCAGAACAGGTTCCTATAAAGTTTAAACTGCAAACCCTTCACCAACAAAGTTGGGCGACAACCCAAACTTCGTTCCGTTCCCTGATGATACATATGGTCAATCAGTGAACAGCATATATTTGGGTAAGCGATATGCCGCCGCTTGATTAGAGGCTATTTCAGGAAGAGGAGGACGTCTCGGGAAACCGCAAAATTGCATAAAATACAATTATAGATTATATCATTGGAAGTACGTTTACAAAATAGATACAAGAAAGAGCGGGAGACTCCTTAGAGTGATAGTATGGATTTGCAATTTTTGATGCTAACCATATTGGCCTTACCATGGAAACCATAACGTTTCCGATGAAAATATAGCTTTGTTCAAACATTGGTGTTGTTGTTTTTTAATCAAAGCAGCCAGACTTTATGCAAGCAACGAATATCAACAAAGAGTAACTTTAAGCTTTAAAAAAGGCCTAGGAAGTTAAGGTAAAATAGGGTATAATAGTGCGTGAATAAAAAGGTTATCGTGAGGCAGATAAGTGGTGTTTCAGTGAAAAGTGGCCTCAGCGGTCTGAAAGCTTGGAACCTGTAGGACAAGCTGACCTATAAGATGCCTCACGTATTTCTGTAGGGCCCATGGGGTAGCATCTTGACAAGAAGCTGAACAGGTTTGTAGATGGTAGGAGCAAAAGCATTTTTTCTTAAAATTTAGATATGTACAACCCTAAGTGTTTTTGTTAAGGATCTAGACTAATGTTTAATCCTCGAGCTGTCAAAAAATGCATGTCGCTGTCCTACAGATCGGAGCGATTCACATTTGTGACCACCATCATGTCTGCTGGTCAGCATGTGCCACCCCCCTCCTTTTTTGATGTTAATTTCTGAGATGTTTTGGCAATAACTGTAGTTGCAGCACTGCATCGCTTTGAGCCCGTCCCAATCATACAGTATGCTGCGCATTAATAGCTTCCCAATAGGTCACCAGACACACCAATACCTAAGGACATTCTCAGCAGTATTGTCTTAATACATACATACATGTACGTAAGTATTTGTTACAAACGACTGGGAAATTAAGTTTCCCTTAACAATCTATAAAGTATAGAAGTGGTTAATATTCCAGCAACTAAGTTGTAGTCTATTTAGTAGAGCTAAATGGGTAGTGCAGCAATTAGTGATAAAATTATGTAGAATGATCCTGAAGAAAACAGCTGGTTGGTAGAACTAGTCATGCTAAATTTTCATGACCAATTTTCATATGGTATGCGTCAGGCATTGCAAAGTAACCCTTCAACTTATGTTATGTTAAAAATACTGAGAAATGTCATAAAATTATACATTTTAGAAAAGTATATGAGAAAAGGTAGTTATTGACTCGGTAAAGTCATTTCGACACAGAAATAGTACCGTGTATTATATTAATTATGTATATATACATGTAAAATTTTAAAAGGTGTGGTTGCTAATATGATTGTTCCTAGAATTACTTATACTAACCCAACTTATTGAAGATAATAGAGAATGGAAAGTCAGTAAACTTTTTAAACGTCCACTGCTTCAGTCATAACAATAATTTATGCTTCGTATAAACCAGTAGGTTTGCAAGAGAGTAGTAGTTACAGGGGTTTTAAAAAGTATGAGGTATGGGAGTTTCGGGTACTAGAGCAAATATAAAGCGTGGTCTATTGAGTAGAGTCAAATGAATAGTGGCACAGTTAGGGACAAAGGTAAGTAGAATGAACCTGAGGAAAATAGTCGGTTGACTTGACTTATTTTTGCTAAGCTTTCATAACCACTTTTAATGTGACATGCTTTAGACGCTGCATTACTGAAAAACTTTTAAGAACCTCTTTAATATTATCCGTCTAGGATAATTATACAAATAAATTCATTCTCATAGTACAGTACATGAGGGACGCCAGTTTACAGGCATCATCAAATTGTTACAGAAATAGAACCATATAATTCAATCACAATTTACAGGCAGTAGCAAGATATGCCTTACATGTTTGCTGGAGATTACACGTACACTTGATAAATGTTAATCCCAGTGGTATAAAACGGCCTTTTCACTTTTATACAATCATTTCTGTGCACAGTTGGAAAAATCTGCTAGATTGTCAGTGAGTGCAACACATCAGGAAATACAGAAGTATTGTCTTCGCATTAACAAAAAAAACCAGGTCTTTGATGGATGGATTATAAAAATAAAGCTTGAAGTCAATTTTTATACATAACTTCGTTGTGTGCAGAACCCTTGAATTACAGTTCATTGATGTGTTATTTTGAAATCAGTGATATGTTTATCTCATTTGATCTGCAATGTCATTGTTGGGAGTAAAACATAAGCTTCAGACGCATTAATTAATGGATTTCTACTGCTTGTGGGTATTTTCTTAGCGTGAGGAAGGTTTATGAATTTCAGCTGTTCCAAAAGGAGTTGAGAATATTAACTGCTCAGCAACATTATGGATATAAGTTCATCACATTATCTAAGGAAAGGTGGGTTGCAGTTGGTGAGGGATACATGGTGCCCAACGAGCGTACATCTGTCCATGTGATATTGTGGTGAGTTATACCTTTTTCATGTTGTCGGTTTATGTCCATTTTATTCCACTTATTGTGTTGGGTAGTAGTTTTACAAACGAGATTTCTTGTCTGTTTGAGGATACGTATCTTAACCGTTAATGTTTTATCTAGAATTATAAATATAGGCATAGTCTTCTGACCCTGTAAACCTGTTTGATGAAATATCGATAAGATTTCAAATGAGCTGAATAATCGAACCTAAGGTCAAGTACTGAGGGAAAAGTTGGGCCAGTTCTGTCACATTCTAGCTTCGGTATTATAGCTGGGGCAAATGAACATCCTCAAATAAGGGGCGTTGCACTGGGGTCTTCAGTACCACAATTAGTCGAAGAGCCTATACGGGTAAAGTATGGATAAGTAGAACGAAGCACTTCTGTTGATAGGAGCTCACTAAGTAGGCGTTGGAATTGAGCAGGAGATCGGCAACTACGTACAGCAAGTGAAAGTTCGTTCCATAATGCATCATACAGTATTTTGAAGAAACTCGAATGCAGTTTTGTCCGGCACCAGGTTATGGATAAAGTAGGTTCATGATTCCTAAGAGTGTATGCGGTTGTCTTGTTGAGAGCTATTGGATTACTGCTCGTGATGTTATTACTGATGTGGCCGTGTAAAAGGCGGAGGACGAAGGTTAGGTTGAGTTTCAGGCATCTTAACCAAAGTGAACTGAACTCCATATTGTTTGCACTTATCCGCGTAAGTAAGCCCTGCATGTTTGTGTAATAGGTGTCGTTAAACTTTGCTGCGTAAGTAGCAGAGTCGAGTTATACGCAAGTGACTACATTAAAGACTGAGCTCGCTTTCACTTACCATTCTGCCAGCAGTTATGGTCTCTTAGACGAGCTAGAGTGGACATGTTAATGTGTCTTTCTAGGCTGCGTTTTAACCCATCGGGGTTTTCACAACATCTAATTTCAGACGGTAGTTGGTTCCAAAGAGTGCGATATTTAATGGTGAAAAAGTTTGCCCAAATGGTCTTTCTGTGGGTAGCCACTTTGAGAAGGTAGTCGTGGTTTCGGAATTGATATGATTTAATATTTACAGACGTTATGGGTGAGTTACTTTAACAGCATTTCCTAACGACTTTGAAGAATAGAAATAAGTTTCATTTGACTCTCCTTAACCACAGAGGTTGTAATTTCAGTCGTATACACCTGTCAACATATTCCACTTGTCGGTCAAACCCTATTATGCATTTCGTGAGGAATCTCTGGGCACTTTCGACTCTTTTTCGGTCTGTAGACCTTAGGTTACTAAATAGGAGAGCACAACATCCAAGTTTGGGGCGAGTACATGTCTTATGTATAGCCAATCTTGCTTCTTGTGTGTAAAACGTTATGCAGTACAAGACCAGTCATTCGTTTACAGTCAGATACTACCTTATTTGCATGACCGGAGGTGTTCAAATTTGAGTATGTTATCCTGAGATCTGTGACCGCGTTCAGTTTTGAGAGGAGCTTACCGTACATATATAGGCACATTCTCGTTTTCCGGTGTCCAAGGTGGGCTATACCACACTTGTCTGGGTTGACAGCCAGTTACCATTCAAAATGCTGCTGGGCATATTATCATACTCCCTGCTGGATGAAGTGGGTCGGTACAAACATAAGTATAGGTTTATTTACGACAACTTTTATTTCGACCCAGATCGAGTCATTGAGTTGTAACAGAATTGGGTTACTGAACTGGGCCGCACACAAGGATTGTTCACAGTAAATTAGTGTTCCACCCTGCGTGAACAAGCTGATTCAAAACTTCTGTATAGTCATCAGACAAAGAAGCTCTACTCACATTCCATTTCAATTTTCAAATAACCAGCTCCTTTTCATTATGACATTTTTTTATCTGCTTGTACACAAACTGACGGATTTCTAACCCTTCTTTCTCCCTCATCTGATTCTCCGTTAACTAAATGAAGAACATACTGTAAGTGTTAAATAGACTGCAATTAAATTTCATTTTGTGCTATGAACAGTTTACTATCTTAGCCTAGGATACGCTAAGTAGCTCAATGATTGTAGGTTTGCCATAATCGTTGACTATCAACTTTATAACTGACCTTCAGACTGAAAATAAGCTTCAAGTAGCATTCAGTGACAGAAATCGATATCGACACGTTAAAATATGCAGTACGTCAAAAAAAACCTGTAAGTTTCAATGTCGAATTAATTCACAAAAACATATAACCAGTCGACGCAGGAACCCATGATAGCATTGAGTCCGGATATACCATCTTTCGTTTCAGCCTTCCAGTGGGAAAATATTAGATACCTGGGGCTACATTCCTTGGATACCATGGAGGGCTGTTTGAATTCTGGCGGTTAGTCAATAAGTCTCGTCTATTCGAAAAGTTGGGTAGGTTTGAGATAGTGTACATATTTCATTTCACTGGGTTATTATGTCACTCGAGTTTCTTATTTTGTTTTCAGAGCGAATCTCAAGAGACTGAATCGTAGATTTGTATTTATAGTCCAAATTTAATAAGTCTTTCTTCTAACAGGTGTGAAAATTCGTTCTAAATTAATGTCTTGTAATTCTTGCGCCCTACACATCATGTCTGTGTCACTTAGATTATATTGCTTCTCTACAAAATTTTCACATTGCATCTGAGCTAAACTGTGTCATAACCTTTCAACAATTACCAGATCTTATACCCTGGTTTGATAAATCCAACAGTATGTTGTTTTAACTGAACAGGGAAATCTGATTTCATTTTCTATGACTGCTTGCAGATATGTTAAACACTGGCACCTAAAAATAGGCTCTGGAATGACGGTACAACATAACAAATAGGTTCAGGTTAAAGATTAAGCCATTACGTTGGTTGGCGTAAGATCAGTCGGTCACTTTTTAGGTTGAGTTGTTGTTATTATCAGTTAGGTAGCCGGAAATATCTGGTGGTTTTCACTAGCATCTCAGCTTGTTGTCATTAAGGTCAGATTAGGCCCTCAAAATAATATGGGTAAGGTCAAGAGACCATTGAAATCGTATCACTTTTATTTTGTGCTTTTTTTCAAGTGTGGCGACATTAACTGGTGCATATTGGTGCAAATTTCTGCATTAGTTCGTCATTTTATCAGCTTTAGTGGTACCGTTCTTTCGTCTAATGAAATATTCGAAAGAAATGCATGGTAGGGATTTAATGTAATTTACGATTGTTTGTTATATAATATGAACTGCTGTTGAGTGTGTGAAATTAATGTAAAACTTAGGTTTATATTGGTTAGGATCCATGAACATAGCTTTTGAGACATTGTTAATTGTTAATTTCAAGCAAACCAACAAAGCGTTATGCACAAGACGTATTGGACTTCTTCTTAGGCAAGAATCTAGTGGCTAGAGTTTATAAGTATCGGTATTTCATTCGTAATGAGTTATGAATAAAAATTGTCATCTCAAGTGTCGGTAAACTCGGTTTAATTTTGAATAAATGTTCTAAATTCAGTAAAAGAACTGCCTTAACTCATTGCATTTAAAATTCTGAATTTCCTCACTTTATTGTTGCAGTGGTAGTTGTATGGTGCCTGGTACTTAAAAATAGATATAATTAGTATATGCAGTACCGGCTTTGTAGAAAATCTGGCAAGTTGTCTTTTAAAAATGCACTGAGGAAGAAATGAGATTACATCTCAGTCAAAAACCTTATAAAGGACGTATAATGACGAAGAAAACATGCCTAGTATAGACTAAATGATACTAGTAGATTGTAAAATCAGTATTAAGTTTATGATTTGGATGGTGTCCGCTGTATCTGGTATCGATAAACATTAAATATGCCCTTCTAAGTCTTGTTCTCATTAACTGGTTTAATCTCAGTTCTTTAAGGATGGAGACGTGGGAACGTTCGTGTAGGGCTTCGACGCTGTCATGGTGGTTCACCTGCGGCAGGAGAGGACAAAGTTGGTTGTCTTGGTGACTCTGCTCAAAGGTCTGGCAACAGTCGACGAGAAGGCATCGTGGAAGAACTTCTCTGAGCAGTATATCTAGTAGTTTGATAACCCGACAGACGGACAAGAAGCACTGCGGAAATTTAGGAGCCTGAGATTCGGTTCAGATGAAGATCCACTGATCAAAACGGTAAGACTGTTGAGTATTTTGCGGTGTGGCTGTCTACTTTGGACATTGATTCACAATGATGGTTGCTAGCATCTCAGCTTGTTCCTATCATTGTCGTCCAACAGCTTTTGGTTAGTAATTACAGCTCATCTGGTGAATGTCAATAAACTGCCGTATGTCGCAATACGTTACACTGTGCGCTACTTGAATCTTATATGTATCATATGCTACAGTAAGGTATCGTTTGTGGAAATTTCAATTGTAGGGAAGTCCCTGATTGTGTGGGGCTGCATTCTGGAGAAAACCCAACCCCAAGGTTAGCTCTGAAATGAATTCTCATGCTTCTCTACCCCCACGGGCTTTTCACTCTCTTTGGGCCCCTACCCACTTATGAAGTTAGGGCAAAGCAGTGATGCCGGAGACAAACCTAAACAACACATTGCCTCGCAGTCAAATAACTGCAGTCTTCGGTGCTGGGCTACTCCCTATTCACTTGCAGTTAGAAGGGGTTGGTGATATATAAATGTATAATTATTATTGACATACAGACAAAATAGATTCCGTTAATACACTGTGGGCCATTAAGTCACTTTCCCACGTTAACAATAACAATAATACACAGTAGCCCACCCTTCAAATTTAAATCTAAGTAAATGAGTAGTATTTCCACTTTTTTTCAGCCTAAAATTATGGCTCAAGCATCTCAACAGATTCAATCTGCCACTGAAAAGTTGATTGAATCTCAACTAATTAAAACAGCACAAGTATTGGAAGAGACTTTGGATGAACAAATCAATCGTTTGGATAATTTAAATGAAGACGACTTAGAAGTAATAAGACAACGTCGGATTCAACAAATGAAAGAAGAATCAAAACAGCGTTCTGAATGGTTGGCTGCCGGACATGGTGTTTATTCCGAACTAGCAAATGAAAAAGATTTTTTCGCTGCATGCAAAACATCAACATTCGGTCTTGTTTGCCATTTTTATCGAGAGTCAACATTTCGATGTAAAATTGTTGATAAACACCTGGCTATATTAGCACCAAAGCATATTGAATGTAGAATGGTTAAGATGGATGCAGAGAAATCACCCTTTTTAACAAAACGTTTAAATGTACGAGTTATACCAACAATGATACTTGTTAAAAATGAACAGATATGTGATCGTATAATCGGTTTTGATGAACTTGGTGGTCATGATGAATTTTCTACTGCTATGCTGGAGTGGCGTTTAGCTGTTGGTAAAGTAATTAAATACACTGGTGATTTATCGCTCCCTCCTGATGCGAGTAAATTGACACCCGGTCTTTCGTCCAGCTCTATTACAAAACGACGCGAAAATAAATCGGTGCGCAGTAAGTGTATTGGGGATGACGATGACAGTGATTAGTGAAGTAGTGTTGTTACTCTTTCTTTGTGTGTTTATGTATTTAATTAAGAAAGATGAAGAATATATTGTTTGGAGGGAGTTGGGAATGATGTTCTCATATCCACATAAGTTAACTTTTCTTTTGAACCTCAGGTTTATTTTTCTTTTTTTAAAGGAATTTTAAATTGTAATAAAGTAATATAGATTGTGCTTTATACATGTATGTATTAAAACTACATATTTGTATGTTTTGACTTTACTTCATTTCCTTCATTTTATTCCCACAGTATAAACAATAAAGTATGAGGTAACTGTGTGATCATTTGGTCTTTTTCTTCTAATTTTTCAAGTGTAATTACTAAGTGACTTTGGTCAGACAACCATTGAAAACCACGGAGTACTAAACAACTGTTTCGTCCTAGTTTGGCGGTAGGCAGTAGGCACTCATCACTCCACCAGGGAACGAACCCAGGACATTCAGGTTACAAGGCCAACCTGTTGGGTATCCAGCCACTGGGACCAAATCCAGTGGCACATGAATTCTAACTTTTACCGATTCCCTACTTATAACATAACTGTCAGCTCAACTAGTCAAGAGATGTAGGTTGTTTTGGAGCGGTTCTCATAGTGCATTGACTTTTTGACTTGGTTTTTGTAGCTCTTATTGTATAATATATGTTCATTTTTATCGGAATGCGGAGGAATAAACCCCAAGTTGTGTATTTAGTAGTAGGAGTGTTTGTCAGTGACTGAAATTCTGTATTGTTACAGTCGCCGTATGAATAGAGATTCATGTAATCGGTCAATTTTGCTGATTTACTGGTGTACACACTACTACTAGTGACTGCACAATTAATTAATTGTTCAGTAGTGCTTTGCATCTGTACAATCAAATTCTTGTCAGTGAGTTCTCTTCTTGAATTCATGTCTTAAGTTCGACGTCCTAGTCGTAGGTGCTGACAAAATGCAGTCTTCTGAACACCTTGAGCAGCAGTCTTCGAATGCGAGCGATTCGCTCCTGCTGTCAAATGTAACATTGACGAGGCTACAGAACTAAACTGCATTGATTCCTAGCTTTAAGGAGTGAAGTGATGACTGAGCGTGTTGACCACTACTTCACTTATTTGGGAAGCTGCACCAGCCAGTTCCAGCAGCTTGGCCGCTGACAAAATCTCGGGACGGATACAGAAGGCTGGTTTAGCATATGCTAACAACTTACACCATCTCTGGCTTAGTAGACATGATATCAGACTAACTGTCGACCAAAGGACGTGTGGACTGCTTATTAGTTCGATCCATCCTCCTTAATGGCTGACTGTGAATGAGACATTCATTGAAAGCCGAAGACATGAAAAGGCTAGCTTTTTTTGATCGTAGGTGTCTACGTTTTATCTACATTCTGTGTTAGGTGATAGGGTGAATAATACTGAATTGGTTAGGCATCGGTTGAGTGCTAGGTAAGGAGAAGGGAAAAACAGTCAGCGAGGTTGTGAAGCAGTTACATCGATTGAGATGTTTAGGCCTTGTGTCACACATGCGTAGTCATCGGTCGCCTTCCTCGACGGGCAATGTTAGCTGATATAGGATCAGGTTGGAAGAGAGCTAGTGGTGTTCAAACCAAAACATGGCTTCATCAGTGAATAAAATCCACAACAGTTAGCTTAAACCACGCAGGGAGATGTAAACTTCCTGGTTGGAGTCCTCAGGATGGTAGGAACCAATGAACACTGGAGCCAGTTGATATGGCTCAAAATTGTTCCTAATGTTGGCGCAGATGCATTTACTATTTGTGATTATTATAATATCCAGTAAAATTCTATCGTTCTTCCATATTTCTATTCTTTTTGCTTCATATTTCTGTTTATTATCTCCCTTCTCTTGTTTGGTGTGCTACAAGAAGGGAGAATGGCAACTCGAACTGCTGCTGCACCTCTGTGCAAAGTTGAAACCAGTCATTAAGTCAATCTTAAGTTCGAAATGGTGATGTTCTGTGATGTGCATACGAAGTATTGACATAGCCCAATCAACATATACTAGTTTATATAGGTGCAGTTTGTATGAAAGTAATAGAGGTTTATTAAGTAGTGACCAGCTTAAGAAGTCGTCACGATAGGATCGAGATATCGTTTGAATATAAAGAATATAAGAATATGATTGTGGAACTGTAGTAGAATATATGTCTGATTTCCCACAAACTGGAAGATATGCAAGTGAAAAGCAACAAATTGGCAGAAGAAGCAGCAAAGATAGGACTTCAAGTGAACATAGACAAAACAGAGGTAATGAAGATTCCTGGCCAACATCAACAGCAACAACCAACAACAATCAGCATAAATGGGAGGAACCTGAAGGAAACAACTTCTTTCACCTACCTGGGAAGCATCGTCTCAACTACAGGAGGAACTGACGAGGATATCAAAGCCAGAATCGGAAAAGCAAGACAAGTTTTCATTTCTCTCAAGTCTATGTGGAGGTCAACAGCATTCAGCGTCAAAAATAAGATCCGTATTTTCAACTCCAATGTGAAGTCAGTACTACTATACGGATCAGAGACTTGGCGTGTCACAAAGAGCAGCTCAAACAAGCTACAGACCTTCATTAACAAATGCCTTCGCTCAATACTCAAGATCAAATGGCCGGAGAGGATCAGCAACAAAGATCTCTGGGAGCGAACCAACACAGCAGGAACCGATCGTGAAACAAATAGGCAGGAAGAAATGGAGATGGATGGGCCACACTCTGAGGAAACCAGCAAGTGACATCACTAGACAAGCCCTCGAGTGGAACCCGAAAGGGAAGCGACGAGTTGGTCGTCCAAGGGTGACCTGGAGGAGATCATGTGAAGAGGAATTGAAAGCGTGTGGGCAGACTTGGAGACAGGTGAAAACTACAGCAGAGAACCGAACGCAATGGAGACGCATGGCTGAAGCCCTATGTTCCTCTAGGAATTAAAGGAAATAATAATAATAATAATTATAAGAATTGAATTTGGCCACTGTGCTAATGTAATAGTAGAGGAGGAGAATAATTTTATCTGATAAACACAGTGATACAATATTGATAACTTAATAATTAGTAGTATACCACATGTTCGAATTCCCTTGAAAGCCCGTTATCGTTGCGGAGAAGACTAATTTCCGCGTTAGTGTTGATAGTGTAACAACTACTATCATCGAAAAAAAACAACCTTCCGAATTAGTGTATGTGTGTTAGCCTCGTCTGTTGGATTTCTGAAGCTTTAGGCATTCAAATAGAGAAGCCAGATGTTTGTATTTGTAGGAGATTTACTCCACTGTCCCTCATTTCATGGTCTTAACCGGTTAGTGTTAAGAAAAAAGTAGTTTGAGAACATCTTGCTTCACTCATCTGATACAATTCTTGTTTAACGCACCCTGGATAAAAACTTCGACCGGGACAGACTGGATTCAAGAGAAACAAGTCATGTGTGGATAAAATCGAAACACTACATACCATCATTGAACAGAACTTGGAATGGCAGTCAGCTCTCTACCTCAACTTCATCGATTTTGAAAAGGCCTTCGACAGCGTCGATTGAGAGGTGATTTGGAAACTACTTCGCTACTACCAAGGGGTGCCGCCGACAATTGTACACTTCATTCAACAGTTGTAAGATAATGCTGCATGCCAAGTAATCCAAAACGGGAAACTCACGGAATCCTTCGAAGTGAAGACGGAAGTAAGACAAGGCTGGCTGCCTAATTTCTCCAATTATTTTCCTGATTGTGGTAGACTGGACAGTGCAACAGACAGACAGTGGGCAACGAGGAGACAGGCATAAAATGGACCCACACAAAATACTTGGGGGATCTGGATTTCACCGATGATATATGTCTGATTTCCCACAAACAGGAAGATATGCAAGTGAAAAGCAACAAGTTGGCAGAAGAAGCATCCAGAGAAGATAGGACTTCCTTCAGGTGAAGATAGAAAAGACAGAGGTGATGAAGATTCCTGGCAGGAACAACAACAGACAACAATCAGCATAAATGGAAGGAATCTGAAAGAAGTAACCTCCTTTACCTACCGACTTGAGAATCATCGTTTCAACTACAGGAGGAACTGATAAGGATATCAAAGAGAAGATCGGGAAAACAAGGCAAGCCTCAATTACTCTCAAGTCTGTGTGGAGATCAGCAGCACTCGGCAGGATAAATAAGATCCAGATTTTCAACTCCAATGTGAAGTAAGTGCTACTATACGAAGGGCACTCTCACAAACTACAGACTTTCATCAACAGTTTTCTTCGCTCAATACTGCTCAAGATCAGATGGCCGGCCAGAAAAGATCAGCAACAGGGATCACTGGGAGCGAACCAACCCAGCAGGAAGCAATTGTGCAAGAAATATGCAGGGAGAAATGGAGGTGGATTGGATTGGCCACACTCTGAGAAAACAAACCATCAAGTGAATGACATCACACGTCAGTCTCTCTTCCGAATGGGAAGCGGCGAGTTGGTCGTCAGTACGAGGGTGACATGGAAGAGGTCATGTGAAGAGGAGATGTAAGCAGGTGGGCAGACGTGGAGTCAAGTGAAAACGTTGTTGGAGAACCGAACGTAATGGAGACGTGCGGCTGAAGCCATATGTTCCTCTAGGAATTAAAGGAGATAATAATAATAACAAATAAATAAATAAATAATCACCTTTGTTTCTGTGGTCTTAGAGTATTTTGTGTTATGATGCAACTCCTTATCAATAGTAATCTACCTTTCGTATGCTTTCATTGTATTTTGACACTAAAGCTCACCTACAGTTATGGTGACGCATATATGTAGATAGAAACAATAGAATGTTCCAATTTAGTCGGTAATTATTAAGTTACATAGCAAATCCAAATATACTTATGTCGGATATAAGTCCACCATCATCCATTGCAAAGCATTTAATTCTGTTAGGTTGTAAAATCAATATACTAATAACTGCTCCTCAATTAATTCAGAGTTGTTAGTGGTCATCAAAGCACTTTGGGGATTAATCACCTGTAACCCAAACTATGTGTTTACAAAAACAATAGTCTTCAACCTTTACCTAAAATGGACTACTTGACCTACTAATATATGATTGGTTATTAGTATGTACTTTTATTTCATATAACTGAGTAATTGTCCACACATTTTATTTTATTATTGTGAAACATGATGCTGGTTGTAAAGCGACTGCAACAATGAATTGCTATCACGGGATACTTTTTCGTCCTAACAACGCCTTATTGAAACCTCACTAAGCCTAGCAAATCTGCATTTGTTCTGCTTATTGAATACAAAACTACTAGGCACTTTGATGAAACCCGTTGTAACGCTGTAGTAGATGAGTGTCGCTTTGCAGAATCACGTGTTTCTTCGGTGATAAC